TCTCTTGAAAAAAACATAACAATTTGTTCATAAATTCACACCTCTCTTGAAAAAAAAACATAACAATTTGTTCATAAATTCACACCTCTCTTGGGAAAAAACATTTTTTTCCATAAATTCACACCTCTCTTGGGAAAAAAACAATTTGTTCATGAATTCTTGAGTTATCCTGGTAACAAACTAACTAACGAACGCGACCAAATACATACCCTCTTTTGGCGAGGTACTTAGCACATAGCAGGAGGCGCTGAGCGACCGGAAACGAACACTTTTCAGAAGTTCCCGAAGTTCAGAAAATAAATCTTACACGAATATCCATTTTGGCTTAATCAATGTCCAATAATTTTGAAATGTTCTAGCTGCCGTTATCAATGTTTCTGGTGTTTGTTTGTTAGCTCATTACAGATTCCACTTGATCTCCTGGATTTTAAATGTATGATTTATCGTTTTGATAGTAATAATAATAATAATAATAATAATGAAATAGCAGTAGTAGTAACGATAATGATAATCTCTCTCTCTCTCTCTCTCTCTCTCTCTCTCTCTCTCTCTCTCTCTCTCTCTCTCTCTCTCTCTCTCTCTCTCTCTCTCCTCTCTCTCTCTCTCTCTCTCTCCCTCTCTCTCCTCTCTCTCCTTAGTCCATGTTATATAAGTTCATTTCAAGTCAAAGTACACTTTACAAACCACTGTTCTTACGATCTCTCCGCATATCAATCGATGCAAATATTTCAATAATTCAACCACGTCTTCCCGTTACGTTTTGCACAGGGTCGAGAGCAGCATAACCAAGCTGTCAATAGTGCAGTAAAAGTCCTGAATCGACTCAGTATTTTTTTTTTTTTTTTTTTTTTTTTTGATAATCTGGAAAAAAGGAGGATGAAACGAGTTTCCAAGATGAACATTTGTGAAATTGTGAAGTGAAATCGTTTTTTGCTTTTGGGTATCAAAATGTTTTGTTAGCAAGAATGGGAAAGAGATGAATGAAGAATGATAATGAATGCGTATGTATATATGCACACACACACACACACAAGCACACACACGCACACACACATACGCACACACACACATGTGTATATGTATATATATATATATATATATATATATATATATATATATATATATATATATATCCATCTATCTATCTATCTATCTATCTATGTGTTGTGTGTGTGTGTGTGTTTGGAATACCTACAGACATAAATGCATGTATACATACATACATACATACATACATACATACATACATAATATAATATATATATATAATATATATATAATATATATGTATATGTATATGTTTGTATATATGTGTGTGTGTGTGTGTGTGTGTGTATGTATGTATATGTATGTGTGTATAATATATATATATATATATATATATATATATATATATATATATATATATATATATATATTATTATAATATAATATATATTAATATATACATATCTATACATATAGGTATGTTTGTACGTATGTATTCATGTATGAATGTTTTGGTTGTATACATATACATGAATGATAGGGGCGAGAGAGAAAAATCTGTAATCAATCAGACAAAAAGGATGATACATGGTAAATAGATAAGAGAGAAGAATAGAGAGAGAGAGAGAGAGAGAGAGAGAGAGAGAGAGAGAGAGAGAGACAGACAGACAGAGAAGAGAGAGAGAGAGACGGGAAGAGACGACTAAAAGACCTGCAGGATACGATTCCCTACCAAATCGACGCTATCCCCTGGCCCCAGTGAGAACCGAGCGCCCATGAATGATGGACGGGTATCGACACACCGCTTTGGCCGGTCTCCCCGATGAAATCTCTGACGCCCGATTTCCTCCGGGCTGCTAGCCGGACCAACAAATTATTAATTATCATCGGAATGCATTACCGGATGGAAAGAAATGCTGTTCGTCGCGGTAGCAAGGGAACAGCAAGCGCTTTGAAGCTCTCGTCCGGATTACGTTGCGAACATATGTATGTATGTATGTAAACATGCATATATACATACATAGAGAAATAGCTGGACAGCAAAGCAGATGAATGAATGAGTAGAAAGCAAATGAGAGCATGAAACAGTTTTTTTTTTTTCAAGAATCAGGTCCTCATTGGAACAAAGGCTGACGCATAATTAGATGCTTAATTCCCCCAACAAATGGCGAAAATATGCCCGAATCCAATATTTATACAAGCAACCTTCTTAAAACCAGTTTCATTGTTTCGTTAATTTGCATAATCAGTCTATCGCTCCATTACCATATTTACCGGCAGTGCACCACATAACTCTCCGCACCCCCTTGCACACTCTCCCGACGCCCTGAAAGTGAGTCGTCTCTGTGTTTCGAGATCACCGGCCCTTTCGGTTTGTAGTCTCCTTAACGGGTTCCTGCACACTGCCTGACAGCGGACGCGGCGGCCTGGCATCCTCCATGGTCGCTCCTCGCATTTCGATCACTGTGCATTGTTCAGTAGCCCAGACTCAGCTCGAAGGATCCTACTCTTAATAAGTCCTTGGGAGTCTAGGCTTAAGTGGGCGTATGTGTGCGTGTTTGTATTTATCATGAACATATGTATAATATAAGGACTAATGCGCTGTTGTAATATCTTGTCAAATACATCTTACAAGACGGAATAGATTCTAATTGGCCAGTCTCAGCTATTAGCTTCACGTACATGGCATCGGAGATGAATTAAAGAAAGGACATTCACAACATTCAACTCCGTTTTTAGCGCACACTCTGACAAGCTTGGTCGGGTTTTCTTTATATCGTATTTTTACGAGTTAAGGGATAATAAATCTGATCAACCTTTTGGAAAGGCATCATCATAACATACTTGATTGCAATTAATAAAAAAATCAAGAAGAAATCAGGAAGTGCAATGACTATAAAGTTCGTCAATACATCATCAGCCACATTGTATTGTGGTATTGGTACACGCTTACGATAACAGCGTAATCTATTTAAAATTTCAGTTATTTATGAAATACAATCTACAGTTTCAAATGAATATGGATAAGTAGAATGAATACCAGGAAAAGTGCCGACAAATACCCTTCTCCCAGAAATGATAATCCATTAACATTCACAAATGAACAACTTTTCCTGGTTATAACACAGCAAGCTGCTTGGATCAGGATACTCAGGTAAATACCCAAGATTATCCCGGCACTGAGATTAGTGCGACAATACCTGCGATAAGGAAATGCGTTTAAAACCGGAGCCACACACACAACACACACACACACACACACACACACACACACACACACACACACACACACACACACACACACACACACACACACACACACACACACACACACACACACCACACCACAGCCCACACAATACCCACACTACTCCACAAACAAACACACAAAGTACTCGGACAAAGATATGCGTGAGTTCATTAAACATCCTGTATGCTAATTCCAAGCCCTCGTTTAACCCGTCAGTTCCAAATAGCTACAGAGCTCGACAGGGCAGTGTCCATCAATCATCAGCTGTACTTATTTCCTTCCGTGTTAATGAGTGGAGCTCATGAGGCATATTGTCGACTATAAATCAGTTAGCGTCAATATATTTCTATCAACAAAGAGAGGGGCAAATAAAAAGGAAGTGAGAGAGAAAAATACGAAGAAAGAGGGGAGTGAAAAAAACTAATGGTTTGCACGGATAAATATTGAAATGTAAATAAGGAAAACACGACATAGAGTATCAAAACTTCGCCACATTTACCCGTATTCCCGCGGAAGGTTCAGTACAAAAACTTCATTACAGTCGCACTATACAGGCATTGCAGTGCAGATAGTTTCTGGAGACGCTGAAATTCCGGAGTTGCTGAAATTCTGTTGCTGAAATTCCTTTGCTGAAATTCTGTAGTTGCTGAAATTCTGTTGCTGAAATTCTGTTGCTGAAATTCTGTTGCTGAAATTCTGTTGCTGAAATTCTGGAGTTGCTGAAATTCTGAGCCTCTGAAATAAGTAATCAATGTCCAATATATTTCATCTCTTCTGCCGGTGACTGCCAGTGCATATTTTCTTTGAAGCTTTTGTTAAACGTCTTTTATATAGATGCGCTTTTTTCCTGTCGTGTCTGCACATCGGTTCGTGTCTCTGCCGTGTGATTTTCGCTTATCGTTGAGTTATACTGAAGAACATACATACAGTACTGCTTGTTATATGCATGTTTACTACACACGCCCTTCCAAATTACGATGGGTGCATGGTATTAGTGTATATCTGATTACGAAAAGGCTTGTTCTAAAAGCGGAAAAAAACGTTTACAAACTGGTCTTATCGCTGCTTATCTTGTGTAATCGGTTTTCCCTTTGTTTTCAATCACAGAAGATGTTTAGTTGTTGTTCCTCACCCAGGCCGTGCTGCACTTCGATTCCTTGCGCGTTTCGTGGGTCACTTCTTCCTTCATCGGCCATCAGGGTTTCGCAGTGGGTCGGTAGTCCGAAGCGACGCGTCGAGAAACGATCACACATTCTCTCTCTCTTTCATTTTTTTTTTCTTTTCTTTCTTTCATTTTTTTTCTCTTTCTTTTTTCATTCTCTCTCTCTCTCTTTCTTCTTTCATCTCTCTCTCTCTCTTCTTTTTTATTTTCTCTTTCTTTCATTTCTCTCTTTCTTTCATTTTCTCTCTCTCTTCTCTCTTTTTCTTCTTTTTTCTCTCTCTCTCTCTCTCTCTCTTCCTTACTTATTCACTCACTCACACAAATTCACTCGCTCGCTCACTCTCTCTTTCTCGTTTTCTCGATCTGCTTCAATCACTTGTGTCTCACCAATAACCGATATTTAAAACATCTTTGTTCACTATACTCTCTTCATTCCCCTGTTTATTTGGTTTTAGTCATGCATAACTCTATATGCTAACGTGTATGTCTGTTTATGAACAAGTGTATTGTTGAATGGGTTTTTATGGTTAAATGCTGAAAATATTACTTAAAAACTAAGATTGTGTGTGTGTGAGGGGGGGGGGGTAATGATAATCGTGGTGTATTTTGATACGATACTTTAATCAACTAATATAACTGTAAATGTTCACTAGTAGTAAAAGGAACTGACGGCATTCTTGTAGCAAATGATATTTTAATGATAGCTCCAAAATCCGTCTTACAAAATCGAAATGTTCCATTCAATTTTTTCCCACCGATCAAAGACGTCCTCGCCAACATTTCATTCATAAAGTACTTCAGAGGGAAAGACGCGGATCCGAACGGCCCCCCGAAATAAGTCTGAACCAGTGTTGATCGGGAGCTTATATGCGAGTCCTAAAAGAACGTGAGATGGTTTAATCAATGTCCGATAATTCTCTTCGTCTCCGGTCGTGTGGATGGCGCCGCTGTTCCGCCTTTGTGAGATTTCGCTCTATTTTTTTTTTTTTTCTTCTTCTTCTCTCTTTGAGGTTTCGGTCTTCTGAGAACTTCATTTGGTCTTTCGTGTTTCGTCCTTTACAAGAAGTCTATTGTCCACTATTACCGCCATGTTTTTTTCATGGTTCCTGTTTCTGTTTGCTCTTATAGAACGTGACTTTATATCCTTTCTCTCGCCTTTGAATGCGTTGTCTGTGTTTGTCATTCGCGAATAATCGCATCTGGAAAAGAGAAAGAAATTATGTAAGGAAAAGATTAATAGGATCATAACAAATAATATAACAAACATTTTCTCGATGAAGACGTACTTTCGCTAACCCTTTTCCGTAACTCTTTTTATTTACTTAAATGCTTAAATGTTTAACAATCATCTAATTGTTTCCCACTTGGTGCACATATCATTCCAGTCTAAGCCAACCTGCCACGCTTTATTCCTGTTCATCTTTAAACAGCTTTAAAACCTGAAGCTCTGTCTAGCTTTTGCGAGATTGGAAACTTATAGAGAGTCATCCATTAGATGCAGTGGTTGGTATACAACTACGATATCTTACTCTGAATTGTGATGGAAAAGAAGAGTGCAACCACTTCTATCTGAAGCACACACACACACACACACACACACACACACACACACACACACACACACACACACACACACACACACACACGCACACACGGACGCACACACACGCCTTCACTTCACGTTACTAACGGTCCCTTCGCAGATAGAGAACAACACAAAACAAGACAAAACAACAACAAAAGCATTCGCGTCTTGCTAAGAAGCAATTATATTTACTCGACTGATGACCCATATCGGTCGCGACTTTACAGCGATCTCCAAATGAACGGAAATTGGATGAGAACAAAACCGTCAAGTCTGACTCATGCATTGGCAAGAAATGATTTACTCTATAACTCTGAACGGAGTATACCTTAAGTGTTCCCCGAGTGTGTCGACTAAACGCAGTCTGGATGTGAAGGAGTGTAACTTCGAAGCAGTTGAAATGTAAATCGCGTATTGTATTTCATTTGAAATATGAGCAGATTATCCGCGACCCACGATATCGCGTTCTGTCTTGAGGCCATCTTGGTGCGTCAGAGACTCTGTTCATAGAATCAATCAATGCCTGAACATTCCGAAAATTCAAGTTGAGTCAAAGTGAATCTCAAAAGAGGCCAACAAATTGACGCTTACTCTCTCCCATATCCATGCAAAATTACCTATATTCAGATCCTGTAAATATATGTTGTCTTTTTAAGCTAGTTATATGAACCGTAGCCACGTTGACCAATGTAGAAAAGGTATGAATGAGAATGAATATCTTCACAATATAAGGCATGCATTTGACCGGTTTCGAATATGTCTCCGTCAGAAAAGCACGACGAAGACATAATGGAAACCGATCAAATACATCTCTTGTATTGTGAAGACATCCATTCTCATTCATACCCTTTCTACTACAGTTACATGTTATCATTATAATCCACAGTGTTTTTAGCAAACGCATAAACACGGCATATATATTCGCAAAATATACATCGCATTACGCCCATATTTCTCTCCCTTGGCGCTTCTTCCTCGCGCCCTGAGAGGTGCTTCGTCCCTCCGTCAGCGCCTTCGAGTCGCTCCGGCCTCCCTCCCGCCGGGGCTTCGCTGGTGCGGCTTCATCGATGGTCGCTCCCCGGGGCTCAGTCACCGTGTCGCCAATAACCGGCGCTTCACACGTGGCTGTCTTCACTCCCTTGACGCATCGCCCTCCCCGACCCTCCCTGATTAGTCGGATTTCCCTCCCCGACTCTCCCTTACTTGCCTCCCTGACTCTCCCTGATTTCCTTCTCTGACTCTCCCTTATTTCCCTCCCTGACTCTCCCGGATTTCCCTCCCTGACTTATTCCCTCCCTCCCTGACTCCCTCCCTTATTAGTCGAATTTCCCTCCCTAACTCTCCCTCATTTCCCTCCCTGACTCTCCCTGATTAGTCGGATTTCCCTCCCTGACTCTCATTGATTTCCCTCCCTGACTCTCCCTGATTAGTCGGATTTCCCGACTCTCATTGATTCCCTCCTGACTCTCCCTTATTTCCCTCCCTGACTCTCCCTCATTTCCCTCCCCGACTCTCCCTCATTCCCTTCTTCGGTTGCGTCTTTTTTTATTGTATCATAGATCTTTTAAATATGGTAGAGTGTAATAAGTATATGTCATCCGAAAGTTTAGTGTATGATATGAAAGGACGTGTTGCCAGAATATCAATTATGGCAATGCATGTCTACACGTTGTCTGTAAATCCATACCTGCTTGTCATCTACTTACCATATTTACCTTTTTATTTAGCTTTTTATCTACTTACTTATTTACCTATCTTATTCTTATTATTATCATTATTATTATTGTGTTATTATATCATTATTGTTATTATTTTGTAAATGCAGATGCTTGTAATAAACGATAAAAAAAAATCATTCACACTCAGGCATCTATTTTTACAGATATACTTAAATCGAAAAAAGAGAATATGCAGAGAGACAGAAAGGTGATAATGCTAACAAACCAGGGAGAGCTCACCTTACTGACATGAACCGGTAGAATCATCCCATTTTCGACCTTCTGGGCAACGAAGCTTGAAGGGCGTGGCTTTTTCACCTGAAATAATGTCCTTTTGTCATCTATTTATTTTTTTTGTAAAGTTGTATGTTACTTATCTATATTTTATATATGAATTATAATACCCCTTACAGCTTAACCTTTACAAAAAAGGAGGTGTCCCGAGCATGAAGTAATACCAGGCAAAATCAATATATTATTCTCAATAATTATTCCATATATGGTAAATAAGATAGAAGTTATATCAGGTAAACAGCAAAATTTGATACTCTTGCTTTCATTGGAGTAGGAAAAATACGTAGGCAGAACATCGACTACAAAGAAAGAGAAAAAGCGTGAACATGTGAGCTTGAGAACGCCGGTGTTGCTTCAGTGACTCACCTTTTGCACTAGCCTGTGGGAAGAGGAAAGCATAGTGATTAGAATATGAATGAAAATATGTATGTATATGAATAGCTTTATATGAATATATATATATATATAATATATATATATATATATATATATATATATATATATATTATATATATATATATATATATATATATATATATATGCATATGTGTATATATGTGTGTGTGTGTTTAAATATATGCACACACACACACACACACACACACACACACACACACACACACACACACACACACACACATGATATATATATATATATATATAATATATATATATATATATATATAGTATATATAATATATATATATATATATATATATATATATATATATATATATATGTGTGTATGTATGTATATACACACACGCACACACACACACACGCATACACACACACACACACATATATATGTGTGTGTGTGTACACATACATACATAAATGTATATATATGTGTGTTTGTGTGTGTGTGTGTGTGTGTGTATGTGTGTGCGTCGTGTGTGCGTGCGTGTATGTGTGTTTGATACACACACACACACACACACACGCACATATATATATGTGTGTGAGATACATGCTATTTTTAACAACTGTTTGATATGTAATCTTTATATGATATAGTATAACATAACATTCATTTTGTAGACAGGATTTCTTAAATAAGATATACGTTAATACGAAGCCTTTTTTGATGAAAATATCTCATTATCATGGCGGAAAAAAAC